GAAAGGACGAAGGACTTTGGCCAACTAGTCTGTTATGCATGCGCTGGGTCACTAATGTTGGCACATGATGATTTCTTTCATGCGCAAACTTGGTAAAGACTCTTTGGCAATCAGAGAAGAGGAAGCGCCGCCGACACTGATAAACTCTGAAAAGTAATGAAGCCTTTAAGCTGCTCTGCCACAAACTTTACGATAGTTTTGGCTTGTTTACTTCGTAATAGGCACTTTTGTGCACAAAGTGCAAACAATTAAACGCAAGTGCTTTATAGTATGCCGAATTTCAGTTCTTCCAACTATTTAATGGGCCGCAAAGGGCCGCTACCAGACATCAATATATAAAAAAGTATTTTAAGGTCTGCTCTCAATTGAGACTATTTTTTTCCCAGTATTTGCAATTAAAGTGAAGCTCTTCATATTTAAAAAGAAAATTCCTTAAGCTCCTTACCGCAATGAGGCACCAGTCAATACTTATATAGTATGTGCCATATGTCAAATTCTATCAATTTTCTACAAGCATGTGCGCATTATATAACTTTTCACTGATGACCCTTTTCGGTAGATGAATTTAAAGTGAGAATTCTATGTTAAATGTTAATTGTTAAGCCAACTTTTGAAAAAATATATAAATATATATACATAATCTTAATCATTTGTCAAGCTTATTTAAATTCCTAACAAATAGTAAAATTTCTTCTTTGTAAAGTCTTACAATTTCGTAAGGGCCCAGTTTGTCTAGGACTTTCAGCTTAGGAGTCACATTTAAACTGTTTTTATCTGTTTTAAGAGGTGGACAAAGTATTGCGTAGTCGGTGGCATTCAACTGGAGCAATGCAATTTGTTACTTTTTGCAAGTATTTTAAATATATATAATTTTATTACACAGAAGTGTAAAAGTTGTAAAATATATGCGAGCTGCACAGTGAATACTACATAATGAATGGTCTTAATTAAAAACGATTAAAAAATAAAAAGTAATAAAAGTAAATACATTTTTTCAATAAACAAATGAGAATTTGCACTAAAATTAAAAATAAAACATATTTCTTATAAACATGCTGAACTATCACTTTTGATATACATTCAAATTTACTTGGAAACCAAACGAAAGAGTTTTGATAGATAGAATCCTCAGTTCCTTTCAACATAGTTACTCAATCCCATTAAGCACATAGTACCAATAATTATAAAGATATTTGACTGCCGTCTTTTTCAAATTTAATTAAGTAAAGTAAAGAAATTGAAATTGCTCCTGAACATACAGCTCAATTTGCATAAACATATTTAAAGCTGATTACCCAAAATTGTTTCCTTTGTCTGATTTAACTATTCTTCGTGTTTCCTAGCAAATTCGATTTGTTCTGTAATCAAATTTATGCAGCCACACATTTGACTCTCAGTTTGAGCTATCTGCTATCTCTGCCAGCCTTTCATCTTGGTTTCTGAATGCATTTCAAGGCTGCCTTCCAATGAGCTCAGCTGATGACATAAAAGTAATGACATTAGAGCGCTTTTCAAGGTAACACAACCGCCCCCAATTTCCGTAATGCAATATAATCCAAGCATTTGCCAGGGGGTAGGTTTTTTCGGTGGTTGCAAACATTTGCCCACCCCTTCAACCGGTTGTGGTAAAACAAACATTTTGTTTGACTCTGCTCCATAGCTTCATTATAAAATCGATGAGTGGGTTGAGGTGTAAATTAAGCCCTGACCGAGGGGTTCAAGCACAGAGACACTCTCCTGTATTTTCTCTAGCTCAGGTATATGCTGATGTTGTTGCTGGTTCTACTAACCTGGGACACTTAGGAAACTGCCTGGCTTATATGTTTTACAATTTATTTAAGCGCAAACAAACTAAAGCTAACTTTTGCTTGAACTTATTGAAATTTAATGAACTAACTCAAGGCTACTACATTTAAGTTATGAATCATTAAAATCAGTAAAGTACATGAAAACTTAGCGGAAGCTGGTTCGAATTTACGGAACAAGATAAGTTTGAGCTGCAGCTGAAAGCTCTGTGGTAAAAACTCATATCTGTGATTGACTACAAAAAGCATTCGAGACTCTTATATATTATTTTTGAGTCTTATTCAAAGCTTCCCGGTTAGTTCGTGAATAATAAAATTGTAACGCTATACATTAATTTCAAATACAATACCTTCGACTATTTGATTTAAAGCTTATGAACATAAAGCTTAAGGATATGTTAAAGCTTTGAGTGTGTTTACTTGTATTGACAAGAGTTTTTGATTTTGTCATTAAATTAAGAAAAAGTAGCTTCACAAATCGAGGCCTTTAACTTTAACTTAAAGCTTAACGCTCGACCTTTTGTATTGAATAATAATAATAAAACTTTTACTTAAAGCTTAACGCTCGACCGACTTGCCATTGTAATCGTCTGCCCTAGCAGTTGACACTTGTATACTTCACGTACTTCAGCAGAAGTCATTATCGTTTCGACTTCTGTAATACCTTAGCTTAAATTCTTATCTGGCCCTAAAGTTTCAGTGTATTTATCGCTTTTGGTCTAACTGACTGACAGTTGTAAGCGAGAGCTCAACTTGAAACAAGGCTTGGCAGGAATTTTCTTTTGTTTTTTGTGTTTTTTTTTTGTTGCTAGGCCACAAAATCCCGATTGCTAATACTCTTTCGCATAAACCGCCCCTTGTGGCAAATGCAAAGTGCGACTTCGTCTGCCTGGCCAGTTAATGTTCTCTGGCGGTCTTCATCCTTCCTTTTTTTCTGATACTTGTGCAGCAGCTGCATTCGCTTGGTCAGTGCAAAATAGACTGAAATTGATGATGTCACTTGATAGGGCGAATGAGTTTTTCATTTTTCACTTTTCACATGATAGCCCAGGACGGAACGAAGAGCCAGCCAGCCAGCCAGCCAGCCATCCAGCCTCTTGGAGAGCCAACAGCTCCACCAAGCTTCACGTTCATGTTGTTTAACAAATTCATCCTGTTGCTTGCGCTTCAGTGCGTGTCTAGTGCTGGACGGCCAGCACATGGCATTGTATCCTGGGGCGGTAGCAAGCGCACCATACTAACATACATACATACTTGCATATGTATGTGCATTTACATATGTGCATATGCACATATGCGATTTTGGGCAGGCCATTGTTGTGCATCGACCTGTTTGATTGGCTTGCTTTTTGCACGTTTTTAATTAGTGCACGGCAGCATAGAAAGTAGATTGTGTGCAGAGTGTGGCACATGCGGTAGGCAGCAGGCAGCATGTGGCATGTGGCATGTAGCAATATTGCTTTAAGTTGCTGGCGCATTAAACAAAACGAAATATTTCATAAGCGCACTGCGACTCAGCCACAATGCCAAATGATTTATATGCAAAGTACTATGAATATGAGTTCAAGCTTGAATATGAGTATTGCTATGAGTATTTGAGAGTGTGTGTATTTTCGTGTATGTGTGTGTTTGTGTGTGTATACACACACCTTGGCAGGCGGCGCAAACAAAAGGCCAACAATCGACTCAATTCCACACGACTCGTTACAGCCACAGCTACAAATTTTCCAAATTTTCCAACAATAGCGCGCACACACACATGCACAGACAAGCACTCACATACGCACACACATGTTCACATGAAATTTGTGAAGTGAAATCACTTGTGTATTGGTTTTGCTGTTCGCGGTGTTAGGTGACAGTGGTTCAGCCTTTGAACTTCTCTCAAAACTTCTTGAAATTAAATTTATTTCTTTTATTGAAAACCCTACAAATATTTATAATAGTTAAGTCGAGCCGCAGGAAATACACATGAAGACGAATACTTTTAAATTGGATTAATTTAAAAAATGTCTGATTTTTTTCAACACAGAACATCTAGCGTCTAGAACATCTACTAAGGAATGGAAACGCTTAACATTTAAAATCAATTTACCGAAAATGAAAGAATAATTTCTTAGTGTTCGGCTACTTGTATGACTTAGGGCATCAGCTAGTTCGTCTATCTATTTTGCCTTGTAGGCAAGACATAAATATATCATATTTATTATCTTGCTATTGTATTGAAGCCATTCTTTTAGAGGGCATGAAAAGTATTACAGGTCTTGTTGACGTATAAATAAAAGTCTTTGTTTAAATATAAAAAACACTTGAATTTGGATCAAAGCGGAAGAACAGCTAAGCTTTGTAGACAAGGCAAATAAAAGCAATATATATGTAGATTATTTTATATATTAAATATAAGGGTTTTATTATATAAGTGCCCTGAGGTGATTTCCTTTTAAAAGTATAAACCTTATGCTATCAACTAAGTGAGCTCTTAAATGTATTTCAATGTTCTCTCTTAGCCCATATTAGACATAAGACATAATTTTTTCGCGCTAACAATAATGATAAAAAGTTATTGCTTAATAAAAAATTTCATATAAGCTTAGAAAAATAATCAAATAATAATTTTGCTTATTTATTTGCAAGACTAATATTTGATTTGAGTAACTATTGAAAATCATAGCATAATAATGTAATTCATAGCTATAGTATTCCCAAATATTATATTATATATGATCTTCTCTTAGCTATACCCCGCCTTGCAAAGAACCTGAGGCCTTTTAACAGTTTCAAATTGTTTGCTCGGGTGTTTTTGGGCATACCTATAAATAACTTTTTTTTTTACGCGAAGCGAACGAATATTCTGGAATCTGCAGACGGTAACATTGTAGAGATGAAATTTATTATAGTAATATTTTACAGATAAGCAGAGAATTGGGGTATTACAATTTATAGCAAGGTATTCTCGCATCTCTTATCAATAGAATTAAGGAATTGATATATGTTTATTTGCAATACTTTCCTTTAAACTTTTTATCTTTTAAGCAAACTTCGTATGCTGTCACTTGGAGTTTATGCAAATAGGTTTCTTAAATTTGTCAACATATTTTGTGTATTTCTTTTTCTCACATTTCACTTGTCACACCTCAAATCACACACACGCACACACTCAAGCACACAGTTACAGTTACTTTTTGTGGCACTCACCTTATTGGAATTACCATTGAATTTCAATAGCTTCTTGCAGGATTTACCGCGACTCTCGAAGTAGATTTCCTGTGGCGTGCGTCGACGTCGTTGCACTGCCGGCTGTGTTGTCAGTGCTTTACGTTGCATGAACAGTGACTCGCTGTGGCTGCACTCGGTTCCTGCCACCGACTGCGTTGCCTTGTGACGGCTAACGCAGAACAGGCGACTCAAGATGCCGCAGCAGCCGCTTGCTACAGGCGAAGTTGCTGTTGTTGTTGTTGCTGCTGCTGCTGCTATTGTTTCTGTTGTTGCATTGTTGTTGGCACAACAGCGGGCGGATATGGTCATTAGGTTGGCATTGTGCCGTGTCTGGCGATTGACATCCATTTCCATGGTGCGCAACAAAAAACTGTTGCCTACTTTCCTGCGCGCGGTGTTGATTTGCGAAATGTTTTTTTCTTGCCTGTTTACTGTTTGTGTTCTTGTTGTTGTTGCTGCTGTTTTTGCTGTTGTTTAAACACAACTTCCGCCAGTTCCGCTCGCATTTAACTTTCTTTGACCGTTTTTTATATGCAAATCGTTAGCCGGAAGTTTCAGCTTATTTTTTTTTGTGTGTATTTATTTCAGTTTTTTTTTTTTTTTTAATTTTTTTTGTCTGCCACTGAAAATAGCAACGCGCTGTGGCAGGTGGTTCAATGTCGCTGTGCTTGTTGTTGCTCCTGGTTGTTAAAGACACAACAACTTGGCGCCCTCACGCACAAATACAGACGCACACACGCACACGCACTAGCCCTCACACGCTTACGCTTACGTCGCACTCTCGGAGAGTACAAAGCACAGAGCAGCCACGACGCTTTCGAGTCGAGGGCAGCGAGCCTACTGATAGCAGTGCTCAGCAGTTGTGTGGCCTGCTGTCTTAGCACTATAGCGTTGCCAGACCGCGCTGAGAGCAGCTGGTGGCACACAGTGCGCATGCCTGGCACACAGTGAGTTCTAAAAGCATGTCACTAGCGCCCTTTTCAGTTGCTTGTGAATGAAGCAAAGAATTTTGCCTGTTTACGTTACTTGATGATGCTGCTGCTGCTTCTGGTTGTGCGGAGCGCGGCTGGTGGCGGGCGCTTTACTAGCGGGGTGGCTTGTTACGTTGAGCGGGCAGCAGTTCAAAGTTGTAGAGCATTTTGCTTTATGTGTGTAATTGTTTGGCGGCAGTCGAGCGGCGCCTCATGCTATGCAGCAGTTTTTTTGATACCCTGCAAACGAGAGAGAATCTTGGCAGGAATATTCTGCTAGAGCCAGATAGAGGCAGGCGCAGACGGGGACATTTTGTTTGCTTCATTTTAATTTTCCTGTAATTATGAGGAACAACTTTTATTAAATTTAGAAACTACTTTAAAATATTTGTTTGGCCTTTAAAGGCCAATGACAGACTTGAGTGAATTATAAGGTGCACCCTGTCCCTTCTTCATTGTAATATATCATACATATAATAGATGTCCTTTGAAACGTTTCATTTTATTTTTTCATTATTGTATGCTATAAAAAGTATGGAATATATTTTTATAAAAATATTGAAAATGTAGTTGTCGATTCCACTTAGCAGGGTATTTTATGGTCGTGTGCTCAGCATAATCTTATGCAAACTGCTTCCGTTGTTGCATTGCTCTGGTGGCAGATTACTGACTAAAGTGATGAGAAGGCACACATTTCATCAGTTGAGTGTGTATATACATATATATACTTATTTCTATATATATATATATATATACATTTGTGTGTGCTTGTGTGCGAGTGTTGTCTGTCTGCTCTGTACGTAATTTCAATGTTTCAACATAATCTTTGATTTGATTATGTTGTTGAGCTGCCTCCTATGTGTGCACAAAACGTGCCGAGATGTCCTTTTCTCGCTCGCAGTCTGTGTGTGCGAGTGTGTGCGTGCTTGTGTTTGTTTGCACTGGGGAGTGTGTGTGTGTGTGTCTCGGCCACTTCCGGCTGGAGCTATAAACGGATTATAAAGTAATTTAATGCTTTTTGTTGTCTGCCCGACAAGATAGTCGCCGGGTGCGAGCGCGAGTGCATGTGCACAGAGCATCCATCGGCAATAAAAACTTTTAATGTTTCTTTTCTGGCATATCGCATCGCATTAGATCGCATCACGCATACGCACTGTTCTGCCCCGCCAGCCTCGGCCTGGCCTGGACCATTTAATGAGTGGAACTTTTGGCGGTTGTTGCTTGGTCGTTGCCGTCCCACTAGCATTTTTGTGCGTAATGAATGTCCAACCGTTTGGCAGAATTGGCAGCTGTTTGTCCTTCCTTTCCGTCTTCGCATTCACTCCCTTCCCCACCTCCCATGCTCTTTTTATGTATGCGGTTCGTTTGGTCATTTTGGCAACATGTTTATCTGCCTCAATGCGCAAATACATATGTATGCTATATACGCGCATATTTATGCCCGGCCCACACACACGCATTTAGTTAGATTGTCACATTAATTGTGTACGTTAAGCTGTCAACGTGTCCAACAATTTTGTATCTTCTTCTTATTCGTGTGTCCAGCCGGCAGGGTCCTTTATTTTTTTTCTTCCTTTGCTTCACGCACGCCTGTCGATTGCTTTGGCCCCACCATGGCCCAATATCTTGGCCATTTCTCATGCTTTCATCTAGGGTCTCGCAGCCAAGGCAGCGATAAGTGCGTCTTAGTTTATCTTTATGTCTAGGCTTTGCATTAGTTGTTTCTTGTTGTTGTCTCTCTTCTTCTTCTTCTTCATCTTCATCTTCTTCTTCTTCTTCCTGTAGCTGTTTGGCAAATAAATACGTTTGATAATGTGGCACGCACATTATATTGATGGCCTTTGCCTATGACCTTACCGCCTCACCCCTCGCCATAGCTTTTGGTGTTAAATTCAATGAAGTGCAGAGAAATCTGATTGTTGCTATGCAGGAAAAGTAGCCGAGGAATGCATTGCCATAGACATATAAATACATTTACCTTAAATTATTTCGGAGTGCATTTCAGTCACTCAGCATTTGGGAATGTGTAAATTTAAATTTATTGCGAAATTTTCAGATTAATATAAATGTGGGGTAAATATTTGTTTGTGCATAATAACAAATATATATGCATTTCTTGCTTATCCTTAAGAACTGAAATTGAGTTTAAGACGTCTACTAAAATAGCAAGCAATTATTACAATTTTGTAAGTCTTAAGGCTAACAATATTTTGTGATATTTTTGATATATTTATTTTGTACATATTTGATCAGAATATGAGCACATTTATATTTAGATCTAACTTTTTTAAGAGAATTAAATTAAATTAAAATTTTAAGATTTTCACGGGTATTTGTTTTAATAATTGCTAAAAATGCAGTGACTAAATTATAAGTAATAACTATTATTTGAATAAACCAAAAAAATGTTTATAATAATAGCAGTAATAAATCATAAAATAGTTGAAAAGTTTTGATTGTATATTTTATTCTAAGCTAACTTAATGATAGTTTTATTATTAGATCGGGCCGTAAAAATAATCCTTTGTAAATACTCAATTTGTTAAGTACATTTTTTGTATACGATGTTTCTAGCTTTGCAGGCTTTCAGCCAGACACACACACACATACACGAACATAGTTCATGCACATGTGAGTGCAGATACGAATGCCAAATTCGCTTCAAATGCCACACAGGACTCAACTTTTTCATGAAGCAGCTGCAAGCGGCACGCCACGCCTCACAGCCCACTCTGCTTGCCCACAATCAGTCTCAATTACGCAGCATTTTTGTATGTGTCGAACGCTGTTAGCAATGAAAACTGTGCAACTGTAGCCGAAACCGAAAAGTTCCTATTGCATTTACCAGAGTAGAAAGAAAAAAATACCAAAACTGTTGCCTAATTGCAAAAATGCTGCCGGGCAAACACACACACACACACACACACACACACACACACACACACACACACACATACGCACACACAGAGCCCAACTTTCCGTAGCCCAAGCACTCCGAAAAAGAAAAGTACGCTAAAAGCTTAAACAAAACCTCAATAAAGCCGATGGCCATTGCTCGGGTGAGCTGAATGGAGGGTGGTTGGGTTGGGGTCGGGGCCGTGGTCGCTGTGACTGGAGGTCGTTACAAACTATTGAGGCGGCAAATGGCAAACGGAAAAGTTTGCGGCGCATGCGCAGCTCCAGGACGAGCCGCATACCAGAATGCCAATAGTAATGGGAACGATAGCGACAACGACTGCAACAACGACAACAACAACCACGAAAACTACAACGTCATGTAAATGACGCTTTTATGTTGCAATCACGTGCTGCTATCTCTATGGTTTTTAGTATTTTTTGTAGTATTTTTGTTTCATATGCAGTAAAATTTTATGATTATTGCCGAAACGGACAAAAAAGTTGTCCACAAAAGTTTTTACCAAGCACGCCTGGTGCACTTGGCCAAATGTCGCGCTTTGATGCCTTCGTTAGTTGCTGCTGCTGCCATTGTTGTTGCTGCTGCTGTCAGTTATGTCGCGTCCTGACAGGATCAGCCTGGCGTTGCACTGGCTCTGACGACATCGCATGAAATTTATGCAAATGCACGGAATTTGTATGAAAATTGTTTTATTTCATACTGCACGCACACAATCACTCATGCCAGCACACACTCACACACACACACGCGCACGCACACTCACTTAATGCACGCGCGTGTCATTGTCTTGTGCTTAAGCAGAAATTACTCATACCACGTGTTGGCCGGTGCTGCCTTGCGATTTGCCGTTGCCGTTGCTGTTATTGTTGTTGCTGCTGCTGCTGACTTTGACGTCGCCCGGCTTGTGTTTTATGCAAATTCGTTGCTCTGCACAACAATGTTATTAAAAAATGATAACAAGCCAGTGCCCCGCACAACAACTACAACAACAAGCAAAAACACGTCACAAGACAACGACAACTGTCAGTTAGACGGCTGCGGCTGTCCCCATGTCAAGTTTTTAGTTCGCTGCTCCCATTGTGGGTGTTTGCTCTTGTTGTTGTTGTTGCTGTTGTTGTTGATGCTGTTGTCTTTTGCATGCGTTACGAGCACTACTATGAAATTATGCAATGAAATATGTTGCCGCAGCGAATATAAAAAATAAAGAAAACAGAAGGGCAGGAAAAACAAAATACTAACATGAGGCATACCAGAATGCTAATGCCCTTCACTTGAAGGATTTGAGAGGATTATATTGAAATATGTAATAAAATTTGAATAATATCACAATATAATCTTAAATTATATATTTGACAATATATTTAAAACAGGAAATATAAGTATTTATAAACATAAGATATATTTTATTGTTTTTTATTTATTTATTGGTATTGGAGATGGTTCCGTGTGTCAAGAATAAAAGGTTAGAAATAAAAACCAACAATCATATATATTTGAATATAAACTAGCTGTGTCTA